CTATGCACCATGGTACGTTTTCTTTGCTCTACATCTGTAGGGGACACGTCATCGACTGCCAAAGATCTTGGTCATGCAAATATTACACTTTTCAGGTGTGGCCACTGCAAACAGTTTGCTCCTGAGTATGAGAAGATCGCTCAGACGCTAAAGGAGAATGACCCACCGATTCCTGTGGCAAAGGTTGATGCCACTAAGGCTAGTGCTCTGAGCAGTAAATTTGAAGTGTCTGGATATCCCACCATCAAAATACTTAAAAAGGGGGAGCCGGTGGACTATGATGGGGACCGAAGTGAGCATGGTGAGTGCGCTTAAAATTAATTAAAATGCCATTATGATTTATTTCCATCAGATTGCTGTGCATTTGTAACAAGTGCTCATCAGTTGACTTCCTGGTGCATTGTTAATCAAGCTTGGTTTTAACTTTAATTTTTCAGCCATTGTGGAACGAGTTAAAGTAGTTGCCCTGCCAGACTGGAAACCTCCTCCAGAGGCCACCCTAGTCTTGACGAAGGATAATTTTGATGATGTGGTGAACAATGCAGACATCATTCTGGTGGAGTTCTATGCACCCTGGTTTGTATATTTAGATTTCTGTGCAGCATATTTATCAACCCATGATGTAACATCTTTGCATTCTTTCTGAAGCATCAGTGTGTCTTTTTGAGAGTCCTGTGTTTTAATTCAAACAGGTGTGGCCACTGTAAGAGACTTGCACCTGAGTATGAGAAGGCTGCTAAAGAGCTCAGCAATCGCACTCCTCCTATTCCACTGGCTAAAGTTGATGCCACCGCAGAAAGTGATTTAGCAACACGGTTTGGTGTTTCTGGCTACCCAACTCTTAAAATCTTCAGAAAGGGCAAGGCTTTTGACTACAATGGACCACGGGAGATGTTTGGTAGGTCCATCACCCATTGTCTTGACAGATTGATTTGGAGGCGTTGGAAATTGAGAATTACAATCTCTTCATTTTTTTTTCCCTCTAGGAATTGTTGATTACATGTCAGACCAGGCTGGTCCTCCATCAAAGCAGGTGCAGACTCTAAAACAGGTTCAGGAGCTTGTCAGAGATGGCGATGATGCTGTGATTGTAGGAATTTTCTCCAGTGAAGAAGATGCAGCATATGAGATCTATCAAGAAGCATGTGTGTATTATGCTGTGTGGAAGTCCTTCTCAAATGCATTAGATATAATCTGTACTTTTAATTTTTTTTCTAATAATTTGTTCTCTTCCTGCAGGTAATTCTCTAAGAGATGACTACAAATTTATGCATACATTCAATAATGAAGTCACAGAATTCCTCAAGGCTTCACCTGGACAAGTAGTCATGCTCCAGCCAGAGAAGTTTAGGTCTAAATATGAGCCAGCATCTCATTCACTAACAATTAAAGTAAGTTCTGAATCTTTATTGTTTGTGTGAGATCTTTGCAAACCAAGCATGACACTGTTGTGTTGTTAAAGTGTGGTAACAGAGGAATTTAAGCAAACTTTTGCGGACAAAAAATGGTCCAATGTCAGTAGTGAAGTGGTATATGAAGCACTGCTCACATAGTTGTTTAACGCAGCAAATTCATGTGACCAATTTGAACCCACTGTGAAATCTGAATGGGAATTTATTTTGAACTGTAATTTTTGTGAACGAACATTTAGTCAGTTTTCCTGAAAGATTTTCCTTGTTCTTCCTAAAGGACTCCACACCTGCTTCAGAAGTTCAAGAATTCTTCAAGAAACACATACTACCTTTGGTTGGGCACAGAAAACAGAGCAACGATGCAAAGAGATACACCACACGACCTCTTGTGGTTGTTTATTACGGAGTAGACTTCAGTTTTGATTACAGAGTTGGTATGGGTTTAAGCCGTGGCTGTTGCAGCGCTTTGAAACTCTAAAAGGAATTAAGATAATGCCTGTCGCTCACAATGCAAATGCTTTTGTTCACTACTGACACAATTTATCATCATTTCCACCCAGCCACACAGTTTTGGAGGAGCAAAGTGCTTGAAGTAGCAAAGGACTTCCCAGAGTACACATTTGCTATCGCGGATGAGGAAGACTATGCTGATGAATTGAAGAGCTTTGGACTCCGTGAAAGTGGGGAGGAGGTGAATGTTGGTATTCTCGGTGAGGGAGGGAAGCAGTACGCTATGGATCCAGAGGAATTTGACTCTGATGTGCTCCAAAGCTTTGTCATGGCCTTCAAAAAAGGTAAAGTATTGGTGTGTTATGTATGTTACGTATTCCTTATGAAAATTAACCTGATTTCTCCAGCTTCATCAGCCTTAATCAGAACTGATTGTTACAATGAGTTTAAGCCAGTATGGTAAGAAATGTTCTTCTAAGAATGCAAATGTATGACTGACAGCTTTGTATGGGTGTAGAGAGAGCACTACTTTTGTCACTGTTAAAATCAGTGACTACATCCTTTTCTTCTCTGACAGGTAAGCTGAAACCTATTGTAAAGTCTCAGCCTATTCCCAAGAGCAACAAAGGACCGGTGAAGGTTGTGGTGGGCAAGACTTTTGATGACATTGTAATGGATACAAAGAAAGATGTCCTTATTGAGTTCTATGCACCATGGTGTGGCCACTGTAAGAAGCTGGAGCCAGATTACACAGCTTTCGGAAAGAAATACAAGAATGAGAAGAATATTGTCATTGCCAAAATGGATGCCACTGCTAATGATGTGCCTCATGACAGTTATAAAGTAGAAGGTTTCCCTACAATCTACTTTGCTCGCAGCAACAAGAAGCAGAAGCCAGTCAAATTTGAAGGCGGCAAAAGGGACGTGGAGGAATTAAGCAAATTTGTGGAAAAACATGCCACAAAATTAACACACAAAAAAGATGAGCTCTAAGAGATTTGGAGAAACCATGAACTTTGTATAAATGCAGTTCCCTGAGAATGGAAGCATTCTGGAGGGCTTGGTGACCTTCAGAAAAGAGAATGTTTTGTACTTTCTTTTGCTTCTGGGATCAAAACATTCAGTGTTTTCATTCCAAACCAAGCACTGTTTATTAGGTTTATTTCTCCCAAGTCTTTTAAATAAAATAATGTAAAAACACAAATGGAGTGGTTGTCATAAATAAGTTCCTGTTTGCTTCATCTCAACAGGTTTAGTCTGACGTTATACATCACAGGTCCAAATGCTCCTTCAAGTCAAGTCACCTTTATTTGTATAGTGCTTTATACAATACTGATTGTGTCAAAGCAGCTTTATAGTGTCAAACAGGAAAATAGTTTGTCAATAATGAAAGAAGACATTAACAGAGTCATTTTTCAGCTAAAGTCAGTTCATTGATGATTCAGTGATGTCATCATCCAGTTCAGCTCTCTTCCAGTAGTGTCTGTGCTATCAGTCAAGCGTACCCAACTAAGCAAGCTAAAGGTGACAGTGGCAAGGAACTAAAACTCCCATCGGTGACAGCAATGGAGAAAAAACCTTGGGAGAAACCAGGCTGTCAGGGGCAAGTTCTCCTCTGGCGAGACGAAACTAGTGATGGGAAGTTCGGATCATTTTACCGACTCGGACCTTTGAGTCTCGTTCAGCAAAATTCTTCAGAACCCAAAAACACAAAAAAACAGTGCTTATATAAATTCGCTTATTTTAACGTACATTTTTTAAACTGCAGTATGTGCCTGCAGATGCAAACTAGCTTTATAGCTAACTCTGACACAACATTGTTGTTGTGCGTTGTCCCTGCACAAATAACTGAAATACACTAAACTAAAAAACTATATATGGCTTTTTTGGGACGTTTTAGAATAGACCATACAAATGATATGATGACGTTGGAGTCTCTCTGAATCATTTATCGAACTTTTCGAAAGAACCGACTCCAGGATTCCGCAGATGGCATTGCCCCAGTAAAGTACGGAGCCCCTAAAGGGACATGGTGGTGGAAAAAAATCAGATTGAGTGAAAGAAAGTTTCTCGAGGGAAAGCAAACGTTTTGCGAGAGAACGCAAAAAAAATTTCCTCCCACCCCGAATTTTTTTTCCACCACCATGTCCCTTTAGGGGCTCCGTAGTAAAGAGATTCTCTGGGAGATGTGCTTTTTGTGGGGTAATAGAAACCGTTGAACATGTAATATTAAAATGTCGGAAATATAATATAGAGAGGATTAAATAACTTAAATGGTAATAATAAAGAAAAAAAAGAAGATAAATTGGATATTAGGAAAAGGATTAAGAGAAGGTATTAATCAAAGAATAGTAATGGAATATATAGTAGAAACAGGATTAAATAAACGAATTTGATAGTTAAATAAATAAATAAAGCAAAGGAATAGGGGAACAAACAAGCTGGGTTTTTTTGGCATGGGAGCTGAACACGCAGCAGCCAGAAATACAGCTTGGGTGAGCCCGAAATAAAATTAACAATAAATAAATAAAAAAATATAAAAAATATGAATAGAGGCGGGACTATCATCCATGTATGATTAGAAACAGTTGGTGGCGATATGTGCCTATGGTGCGGAATTCGCCAAAAAATTCCAAATAAGAAGAAGAAGAAGAAGATTCTCTGGGAGTGGGTGGTACTTAATGAACCGGGTGACCCAAGTCCAAACAGTCCACAGGAAGTCCCTCAGTTCAATGCGAACATAGAATAACATGTTGACTATGGACTTACTGGCCGTATGGAACTGTTTTCTCCCAGTATTTACCACAACAGCAGCATGGTTTTCCTTCTGACTGTACTAAAAGAAAGTAACGTGAGCTTAAATCTTTGCATTATACTGTATCGCAAACACATTACAACGGCTGCTCTTTGCTGACATAATTCACGGCAATGATTAAAAACCCAAAGACGAACACTGGCATACTGCGCGCTTTTTTACAAAAATGTATTCGTTCAAAATCAAGAACAAAGAACTTCTTCACATGTCCCTCACTGCAGTCACGCATCCGATTCGCCCAATCCCCGATAGGATCTATCCAATCGAAAATCGTAACATTGAACAGCTCGAACATGGCTTGTTCTGATTGGCTGATCTGTTTGGCGCTCGTTGATTCTGCAGTGAGCGAGGTGGGTGGCGAATTCTGAGTATAAACCAACGACAGACTGAGCGGGTTTGAATATTTGGAGAAACGGAAATATTACAAATTTACATATCTTTCAAATTTATTTCAGTTCGCTTACAGTCTGTCGCGGTTAAGAGAGAAGTAGAGGTCTGGCCAAACAGATACTTGTAGAACTAAAGACGAATTAAGCGCCTGTCTTTTGTTTATCGAGGCTCGCCGGTATTGGTAACGCGGACGCGCGGAGGTGAAAGGACCCTCTGCCGCGAGCTAGCTGAGTTAGCTAGCTCAGTTAACCGATCATCTTCATTTAGGGACGGCGCTGACAGACTGACAGAAAAGTCGGTTGTTTGGATGTGGACAGGTCTCTTCCTTCAGGTAGGCACTAGAAGAAGACACTAAAGAGACAGTTGTCTGAGTGTTAGTGAAACCACGTTTACTTTCTGGTTAAGACAGCCCAGCTAACCAGTTAGCGACTAACTTTACATTGAAACACTGCAAAGACAGCAGTCATGTTAGATTATAGACAGTTTATCTAGTCATTTCATGTTATACCTTACTGTCGAGACTTAACGAAGTTTAAAGGATAATTCAACAGAAAAGCGAAAAATCTGTCATCATTTACAAACCCTCATGTTGTTCCAAACCTCTCTTTCTTCCGTGAAAGGAAACAAAGGGGATGAAAGAAATGACAGTCTCAGTCACCATTCGCTTTCACTGTATTGGAAAAGATGCATTAAACGTAAATGATGACTGACATTCTTCTTAACATCTCCTTTTGTGTCAAAAGAAAAAAAAAGTCAGGTTTCGAGAACCATGAGGTAAATGACAGTTTTACTTTTTGGTTGAATCTTTTTAGCATCTCAGTCGTCAACCTTTTATTAGTTCTTCAGTGTTTATTTCTTATTTGTAATTACAAGACTTGCTGATTTTGTGAAGTAGTGCGAGTAAACACGAGTAAACGTGTTATAAGGTTTTGTTTCAGTTTTCAGTCAGGCGTCGTTTCAATGTGTGTGTTAGACCAGCAGGGGCGCCAATGAGCTCATACACCTGTCACAGCTACACCAGGGATAACAAATCCCAGATTTGGGAATAAAAGTGTACCTAATGCAATCTCAGAACTTCATATTCTGGGTCATATAAAGTTTATTCGTGGTTCAAAAGGGGCGTTCAATTTCCTTTACCTCTTATTTGTTCAGTTTTCTCACGTTACTACATTTAGATTATGTGAATTTGTGGTGTTGCCGAGATGACTGGGAGAACTTGTAGGAGGGGAAACCTGTTAATTTACAAATGACACTTTGTCACTGTATCGCACAGTCTCGGCTGCTCTGTTACATATCTAGCCTACATATCCGCAGCAGGTTAGGTAATCTCTACAGCAATTTAGTTGGCTTTTACTCTCTAGTAGTTCTCTGAGGAAAGTATTGTTGCTCTTTCATAGCTCGGAAGACTTAAAGGAGCTCTCAGGTATGCTTCAAATTAGAAGTTTCAAATGAAGAGAAATAAATTAGGAGACATAATACTATTGATGTATGGTTAGAATACAGAACTATGAATGATTTGGTTCAGCATTACTTGGATAATTTCTGCTTGGAAGAATTTGATGAGAAATCTGGTTTGATTGAAAAGAAATAAATAAGATATTATCTTTTTCACCTTGACTTAAGTTTGTTTTTCTGAACCCATTGATTTTTGTTCTTGTTTTAATCATGAACTCATTTCATTTTGATTAGGGTAAACGTACCTATTAAGCTCACGTACCCTTTAAGCACACTTCCATATTTGAGCTCAGATTATAAAAAGACAAAATAATTTATTATCATACTTGATGTCTTAACCAACTGATGTGTTTGTACCTACATACCTCCTGTAATTTCAAGTCAATCAGACCATTGCACACTGAGATATGAGTCTCCATGTGTTCACACTGTCTGGCAGCCATTTTTAAAGCTGTCTGAAGACTTTCACCAAAAGAGGAGCCCTTTAAATGTGCATTTTTTTAGATGTTTAAGTCTTTATTTTGGGTAAGTTTCACTACTTACTGTAAAATTAAGAGATTAATGTTTAGACTTTTGCATATTATAACCTGGAACTTGGATGTGGGAAATAATTACAGTTAGATCCAAAACTTGTGCTTTTAAATCCATAATATTATAAATTGACAGTTTTTTGCTGGTCTGTGGTTTTACACTGCTGTAATTTTTAAAGATCTCATATTATTGTAAGGTGAGCTTAAAGGCAGGGTAAGCGATTTCTGGTAGCCAATGTTGATATTTGAAATCACCAAACGAAATCTTGTAATTTTAATAAATATTACATGAAATTTATTAAAAATTGTTGTTGCTCCAGTTAAGCTCAGTGTGCTCTCTTTAAGCTCTTCCACATTGAACGTCTATGTAAATACTTCATAAACAGACTTTACATTTAAACTGATGGTTGTCACTTTAAGTTACGTTACTCGATTTTCTACACTGTAAAAAATGACCGTGAATTTAACGGTAAAAGACTGTAAAAATGCTACAGTAAAAACCTGTTAAATGGTTA